GGGATGAGCTGATTAAATCTCTGAATATCATAATAAAAGCAACTGGTGGAACACCAGTAGAAGAAGATAAAAAACAAGAACAAGCAGAATCAGATAAGGTAACACTTCCTACCGACATCAAGGTGGAAGAAAAACCAAACAAATGGTATGCTATCTTTAGTGGACCATTCAGAGGAATATACGCAGACTATACGATATTTTCGCAACATACCAACGGAAAGAAAGTTTCACACCAGGCCTTCCAGACCAAAGAAGAAGCCCAAAAAGCCTTGAACGAATCATACAAAACCATGGCCCAAAAACAACCAGTTGAACCAAAAGCACAATTACCCTCAATGAAAATACCCAAAATAGCCTAAATACCAACCACACAAGAAAAAGAGGCCCTAAAAAAGGTAACCCTCGAGAAGTATCAGTCCTACTGGGCGTCTCTAGTGGACTATAAGGAAAAACATACTACCATGGGTTTTTACCCGAAAATGACTAGAACTGGACCAAAGGCTATCTTCATTGGAGAAGCCAACCCATTGCTAGCCTTTGATTATCTTCAACATGGACTAGTCGACAGTATCTACACTGACTCGATGAGAATATTCGAAGAATTTCCACGAAAGATGAAACCAATTATCAGAAATTACTTTGAACGATTCGCAAAGGAAAAAACTATTTTTATAAAGATTAAGAGTTCAATCCCGATCTTCGGAAAGGATAAGATTATACAGTCACAGGCGGTGATACACCTTGGAGTAGCAAAGGGAGAACTGCCTCCAAGAGATAATGCATCAGATTATGAGATTCCAGATGATTTGGAAGCTCATTCATTACTTGAAGTTTTCAAGGCATCAAGAAGGATCCTTGCGGATTCAGAGATCAAAGTCAATTATGCCAGCAGTAATGTGCTGATGATCACCTACAACAAGAAAACTATCTCAAAGGAAGAAATGCAAGCAGTAGCAGATTTCGAATTAGACTTCTATCATTTAGAAGGAAAATTCGCAGGACTAGAAGAATCTATCAAGGAACAGCTCTGCAGCTTCCTGATGAGGTATGACGACCATAAATGCACTATCTGCAAAGAACTAAAGGACAAAATGAAAAGGAGCATCCAGCCACCATCCGAAAAGTCTGAAGACATGTGAGGAAAAAACCATGTGACTAGTTGATGTAATATGTCGGACCCAATAAAAGATAAGGTTATCAAAAACCTTATCACTGAAATCTATAGTGTATAATTACGTAGTGACAAGTGTAAGAATTGGGCCCCAACATAAGATTCCATTCTTAGCTGATAAGGGTTCCAAAGTTGTATAAATATGTGACCTCTTCATTTGGAGAAGGCATAGTGAAATAAACCCTTTGTTTCAGAACTCTCTCTGAAAAATCTCTATCAAGAGATTGACTTGAAGATTTCTATCTTCTGGAGGCCCTGAACAGATTCATTTGAATCACAAATCGATTATTCCAGAATTCTGGAACCAAACATTAGCTTAAACAAAATCAAAAAATCGATAAGATCTCGGATCACCAACAAGGAAACGATCATCACCAACACCAACCGACAGGGATTATTATCTACAAAAGCAAATCAGGTATGATATCAACTTCTGCATTTGATAATTTTATACAATCAGATGAACAATATTTCTTTGATGGAATTATAGACATAAACAAAATACGAAAAATAAGTTTTGATCTTCAAAAAGATGAAAACTTTGAACAGACTATAATAGGAAAAATAAAAAAACAATTATCAAGAACAAACATAATAAAGTTCTCTTTGATGGAATTATAGACATAAACAAAATACGAAAAATAAGTTTTGATCTTCAAAAAGATGAAAACTTTGAACAGACTATAATAGGAAAAATAAAAAAACAATTATCAAGAACAAACATAATAAAGTTCGGAATCATGGTAGGAGAAACACCAGTACCAATTGAACAAACTACAGGAGAACTCATTCTACCGATTATTAACAAAGAACAAATCTTAGAACAGCTCAGAAATTGTCCCGAAAAACAAAGAAAACAAATAGCCTACATACACTGTAGTACTATTCAAATAATTATAAAATCAACATTCAAAGAAGGTATCGATTCTCCGATTACCTTTCAAATTAGAGATGACAGATTAACCAATTATAAAGAAAGTATTATAGTTGAAGGAAAATGAAATATTTCTTTTGGAAAAATTAAATTTAACATTAATATACAACTCGGATTATCATTAAAAGATAAAGACTTGGATAATTCTATAGTTATCCAATACAAACTAGATAGAACGGATTTCATGGAAAAAAGAAATCATCCATTTTCTATAACCTATCAGATTAACTACACATTAACAAATAGTCATCACAGTTTAAATTTTAGAAACAAAGATATTATAGAAATAGATGATTTATTTAAACCAATAATTTATTTAAAAAGACCACTAACACCAATAGAACCAGATCGAAAATCGTTGTTACGACTTAATCCAAGATTAAGAATACAAGAATCATCATCTTTTATTATTCAACACTGAGCAGTCGGAAGAAAACCAAGAAGACTATTCTAAATTACGAAAAACATCTTGGGTTTCCTGGGATCTCATGAGCGAATCTAATTCCTAAGAGATCGATTCTAGGGTTTGCGCAGCGGAAGTAAAACAAAATTTTTATAGAACCCTAGAACCATGCTGCTATTGAATCGTAGAAACGTTAGAACGCTTACCTCAATCGATCCGGGGTCTGTATCAATCGAAGAACACGTCTGATCACGAAAGGCAGGAAGAATACCTCGCCCTCTACACGTATCCACACCACGGGATGGATTCCAACGGTTGGAACTTGTCTGCTAGGACTCGAATCTCTATTCGATATGTGCACCGAGAAATCTCGAGACTTAGAACTCGTTTTTGGATCTCCAAAAACTCTCTCTTTTCTGCCAAAAGTTGGCTCTCTTAGTCTACTCACGAGTTAGGGTTTTTCATCTCCTTCTTATAAGGTGATTTAACCCTAATTCGGTTTAATTTCGGAAAAACTGGAGCCCGGAACGGACGGTCCAGAAATACACGCGGACCGTCCGTTCCAGCACGTAGAACGGACGGTCTGGCATTAGTGGACCGTCCTTCCAGACCTTCTGGAACGGAAAATCCGTTCTGGACCGTCGGGTCTGGCACGGCGGACCGTCTGGTCCGTCCGTTCCAGACTCTTCCGTCTTGGTTTTTCCGTCGTTTTCTCGTGCGTTTTGTCCTTCCCTGCGTGTGCGACCCTTTAGGCTCATTCGATATAGCAGTATAATCCGAAATCTCTATTTCGGATATACAAGTCATAGGCGGTCTCTAGCAAGACACTATGACTACCTATCTCGAATAGAGTTTGTTCGTGATCTTTACGAACGCCAGAGATGATTCCGGTTGATGATCCTTTTGTATCGTGATATCATATGTCGAACATAAGGCATGAACAAGCCACCTTATCTGATTCGACTGCTTTCTCGTTCACTGAGTTCAACTGTCTGAAATAGACGACGTTCGTCTATAGTGCGGTCACACATTTCTACACTCTCGCTCACACGAGGGGCCCAGCGATATCTCTCTCTTTTACAAGAGGTACAAATCCCATCTTGACTATCTACAATCCATTACATGATTCGTTTCGTACCTGATACACGCCTTTATAGTTCTCTTGTTACGCAGAACGTTTGACGTATTCAAAGCACGCAACTCCTCATGTTGGATTCCGTAGATATCTCAGGTCTTAGGATCCAATCATGAAACCGCCATATGAGATTCAAGTCATGACGCTAGTCCATGTGACAATCTCATGCGGGTCAATCCAGTATTCCGTTCTCCAACGAATACCTATGACTATGATTGTATCAAATACCTATGATCAACGCTATGATCATCAATCACACATCATACTAGTCTTATTATATCGTTATTCCCATAACGACACAAGACTAGGGAGTTTAGTATCATTCATAATGATACACGGATATCATAACAGATCTAATATGCAAGAACATGTAATGAATCAAATACTCTCATAAAACCCATAGAAAGTATCAATACATCAAATGTATCTAAATAAAGCTCATAAACAGTACATCATAGAGCACTAAACCAACAAAACAATATCAGAAATCAACAATCTGACTAAATGAATCTCAACGAAGACTTTATCGAAAAATTATCCCTATTAAATCTTGAAAGTTTACCATGTCTAGATCATCTTGAACAATTATTAGTTGAAACTATAGAAAGTATATTTAGATGATGAACTTATGGAACAATCGAACGGAATGAACTTAATGAAGAAAATAGAAGAATAAAAATGATTAGTTCAATATTTAACGCAGTAAGAGAAATTAAAAGAGAATTTATCGAAAACCATAACGATTAGAATGAAAAAAATATATAAGAAAAATATTGAATTATTAGATGCACCAGTACGATATTTCGAAACAGTAGATAGTGTAAGAAAAATGCAATATTTAATAGAAAGAGAACAAATTAATAATATAATTACAGAAATTAATAAATTAATCATAATAAAAGAAATAAAAATCGAGTACTTTAGGAAACATTCATCGAAAGATAATTATAACGGACATTGCCTCCCATTTTTAGAAGAAACATTAAACCGGATAAAAGAAATATTAAATTTTTTCGAAAATGAATTAAAATCTCCTGAATAAAATAATAATAAAAAAATAAATATTTATTCAAAGTTAAAATTGGAATTATCGAAATTACAAGGTCACCTTGAAGTACAATGACAATTAAAATCATTTTTGAAAACGCCCCCGTTGAGATTACTCTCAATTTCAGGAATTAAATATTAATTCAGTACAATTTCAAAAATTGATATATTAATTTAATATATTTTAATATTATTATATTATTAAATTAAAAGTTAAAGTATTTATTCAGAGTATTACTTTTGTTAATATATAAAAAAAAGAGTGAGAGCCTCTGGTTCATTGAGCAGGTTTAGTGTGACTAGTAAGACGGAGAATAAAACCTCTGAGCCAGTGTAAAAACCCTAGTCTCATCTTCGCGCCCTCCAATGGCGACACGTCGATGCCTTCGCGAGCTTAGCCGCCGCGCCACGGCGGTTCTCTCCGGCAGCCAATCGCGTTCCGTCTCTTCGCTGCGGAGATCGGTTCCCGAAGTCTCCGATATCTCTCTCGGAACACTAAACCCGACCCGGAGCATTGCACCGGATTCTCTATGGTACACTCTTTGGCCTCGCTCGGAGGTTCGTCTGTTCTCATCGACTCCTGATGATAGCGACGACGGTGAGGGAGATAGCAGCGAGGAAGAGGAGGAGTGGGAGGGGGAGGAGAATGCGACGGAGATGGATCTGGATAGGGTATATTCTCCTGCGGAGAAGGAGGCGGAGGCGGCGGAGATTGGGTACAAGGTGTTGGGTCCTCTCCAAGTTTCCGAGCGAGTTTTCAAACCGTACGAGCCTGTTTTTGCCGTTGTCCAGGTTTTGTTGACAGGCCTTGGTGTCTATTTTGAAAAGAAAGTTATTCCATTTTACATTTCTTATGAGGATAAAACCTGTGTTCTTGTGTAGATCGGTTCGCATCAGTTTAAAGTGAGCAATGGGGATTCCATTTTCGTCGAGAGATTGAAATTCTGTGACGTGAATGAGAAGGTATACTTAATTGCTTATTGGTATTCTGTATCTTTAGCTTGTTGTGAAGAAACGTACGTCTCAGGATCTCAACAACCAAATCGGTTGAAGCAGTTGTTCAGACAGCGTTTTCATTTTCTGAATTCAAAACTCTACTTGTTTCCTACTAAGTTTCTGTCGAGATTCCTAATTGAATTGGACTGCCCTTATGATCAATTTGCAAATGCTTGTTTGCCCACCCTCATAGAGCAATTGGAGACTGGTTTTGCATCTTCGTTCAATTGAAACAGTTGTTTGTTTCATCCTGGCATCGCTCAAACAGTCTAACACCTTGATGGGTCTTGTTGATATCTTTTTTTTTTTTTTAATTTTGAGCTGCATGAGAAAGTGTTGTGTCTGAGTTTGTTCTAAATTTGAAATGAATCAACTAGTCTTCATTGAAAGGGAAAGTCCAAAGTTATAGTAACGTGAGTTGCCTGATCGCTTTCCTTTTAGCTCTTTGCAGCTTGCATATGACCAATAATGTCGAAGAGCTCTGTCTGTGGTCCTTTGTGGTTCTATGATTGGATGTTCTGTTTCATGCTCTGGCATTTCAGTTTACTCTCCCAAGAATGATGCACCTATTTTTCCAATTTATGATTAATATTTGCCACTATTGCTTCCTGGTGTTACTTTGTAGTTACTTCTGAGCAAGGTTCTTCTACTGGGTTCAAGTAGCCAGACGATCATTGGTCGACCGGTTGTGCCCGATGCAGCTGTTCATGCTGTCGTGGAAGAGCATGTAAGTGTTGCATCCACTTGTATATTTTGGTTTTGCTAGGAGATTCCGCATGTAGATGGATAGCTATTTCTTGTGTAGTTGACCCATTGTGTGTAAAACTAATTGACAAAGAATTTTATACTTAAAGGTGGAAAACCTCTGTTATAATGGCATTTAGAAAGTGAATGAGAAAATCCAGGTTCCAATCAGCTCCTGATAGAGTTGCTGAAAGACTTTGTGATATCTTCTTGCAACTACTATAATGAATAGAAGTATGCTTCATGACTATGTGTACTCCTGTTTGTTTCCAAACTATGATATCTGAATGTTTCATGTGCTCGTGTTTTCATTAATTTGGCACTTTAGTGTCACTAGATGGAAAAAACAACGCAATAGTCACTGTTTCATTAGCTTTATGTTGGGAAAATTTACATGTGTGGCGGAATTGTTGTAGATCATATCATTCTATTGCATATGTTGAAAAGAAACAGAGACACAACAAGTATTTCCATCTAACCGAAATAAAATACCTTGTGAGTGAGTGACAGGCTTTGGATGCAAAAGTGCTCATTTTCAAGAAGAAAAGACGGAAGAACTATAGGAGAACAAAAGGACATCGGCAGGTACATTGAAACGCGTTTGTTTAGTAGATACTTGTTCATTTGCTTCGCTCTCTTCTTTTCCTTTTTCTTTTGGTACTCTCCGCCTTCTATATGTAAGATCTTTTTGTTTTTCTGATATTTTGGAAACTTGGTGCCCAGGAATTGACAAAGTTGAGAATTGTCGATATCCAAGGAATAGAAAAACCCGAAGCGAAAATTGCCCGCAAGCCTGCCAAGGCAGCTGCTACAGAGCAAGCGAAAAAGGTCGAAATTGCTGCTTAGAGACTGGTTTCTGTTGGTGAGTTCATGTATCATTACTTGCTGATGACTCCAATCTCCCGCAACTTATTCACAGAAATGAGATTTGGAAGTCGTCATAAAAAGAACGAAAGATCCTTTAGGCTTCCTGACCGATATGAATGTTACTCCGTTTTCTAGTTCTCTTCTGTGCTTTTGTTTTGTTACAGAACGCAATAAAAGATTGCGGAGACAGCCATCATCATGCTATGCCTCGGGTATGGTACTAATGGGAGATGTTCTTTTGTCCGAAAACTATGTTTTCTGTCCAAAAACCGAAGCCTCTTATTCTTTGTTGTTTGTTTGAACACAATATAACTTTGCACCGAGATCAAATACTCGACCCCGGTGCTCTTCCTCTATGCATCATTCTAACTTCTCCGAGCTCGAGATCCCAAAGCTCGTTATCTTCGGGGTAACTATGTTTTCGGTTATATTTGAGTTCAATTATTTCGCTTTAAAAAAAATCAGAATGGTTTGGTTTTTATATTGAATTCGCTTATATTCATTTTGGATTTGATTTGGTTATGATAAAAATACTTTTAAAATAATTTAAGATTTTTTTGATTATTTTTTATTTACGAGTTTGGATTCGGTTTTTCAATTGTATATAAATTATAACCATTCGATTTAACCACCCCTGCCAAAAAAAAAATCAGCGAGGAAACCCTGACATGACTTGGAAGACAAGAAAACTAACAAAAAGGAACATCGTATTCAACAACAACAAAAAAAAGACGATGAGAAAGACCTAACTTCAGATTCCACGTATACAGTTTCTTCTCCAACCAAAGCAATCAACAAACAAAACCAAAGATCATTTATGAAAGATTACAACACTATGAAGAATCATAAGTTTCGATTTCAAAGCTCACAAAATAGAGAGAGAAAACACAGGTTTCTCGGTTACAGTCGTTCCTGGACAGGATCAACCAGTCTTTAAATGAACACCAACAAGGGCCTTCTCTTTCGGTGTATGCAACGTTACAGATATATGAAACCAAATGCAAATCTTACAGTTGTTTTTTTTTGTTGTGGTAATGATGTTGGCCGTGTGATGACGACGAAGCTAGTCTTGCCGCAATTTGTGGCCAAAAGACCGGTGGAAGACCCTTCTGCGTTTAGCTCCCCATGACACAACCAAGCAGTTGGGTTCTTTCCTCTTTGTCCCCAGGTACCCTTGACAGTTCTTAGCTCCACACTGGCACCTCACTTCGCTCCCAAACTGCACAAATCTGCAACAAGAAACCCAGAATTATGAAGAAGAAGAAGAAGAAGAAGAAGAAGAAGAAGAAGAAGAAGATCCATCGTCTGCAAATATACCTGTAGTCATACGTAAGTGGCTCTCCTGCTTCTATTTTCCGAGCAGCAAAAACACCCACACGGATCTCGCCCTCGACTTGCCTGTTGAAAAATGGTCAGAGATAGAACCCTTAAAACCGGGATTTCTCCAGCCAGGCATTGCACAGATTCACAAAGGGTCACTCACCATTTCTCCAAAACGCAGTTGGGTACGCAACTGTGGTTCAGAAAACGGGAGGCATTCCCCTTGAACGTTGCATCTATCGTGAAATCTTTTTGGATTTCGCACATGTAAAAGTCCTTCATGCCTTTGTGCTTCATATCCCACAGCCTTTGCTCACATTGAGCATCACTTATTACTGGATAAAAAGTGAGACATTATCATTTAATGCTCTGTTCCTTTCCAAAAACCATCTTACTATACATTCCTACAACTTACCTTCACCAATATACTCGATGATGAAGTCATCCTTGTTGATAGTTTCAGCTGCTTCTACTCCCCAGCCGCAGAATTCTGTCTGCAGACAGCAGAATCAAATACTCGGCATCGAGAAAAAGGAATGTAGAACAGAAGAGAAAATCGTCCATTCCTTTTTTTTCACCTTAACAATTTTGATCTTCTTGTCCTTGCGGAAGGGTCTGTTGCCACAGGTCTCAGGACAACTACAAACCTTTGAGCAGCTTATGCATTGAACTCTGATAATCATGTTTCAAAACAAGTTGATCATCCAACAAATGCAAAGAAAAAAACAAAGTATTTTCCTTTCCTTGTTAAGTTCGATAAGCATTCTGAACAACAGAGCGATACTACCTGCAAACGCAGCTTCTAGAGCAAGCGGGACCGCAGTTTGTGCATCCAACACCATCATTGGCATTGTCTCGCTTCTTCTTGACTAAGTAAATATCTGAACCAAGTCAAGGAAATACCCTCATGTGGGAACATGCAAATCAAGGATCATAAACTGGCAAAACCATTTATGAAGAAGTTGTCTGAAAACCGTATGTTTTCAGACAGTAGCAAATGTATCAAGGATACTGCGCCTAATGTGCACATAAGGAGGAGGTTCATCTTTGGTGACAGAATCTTTCCATGTTAAGTCAATCTTGAATTCCTCGTCAACATAGGGCAGAGGTAATTGGCAAAAGATCCCCTGAAATTTTACAGTACAGGAGAATTCACTTTCCCACTTTAAAATGAGGATAGAATACGAAGAATGAGATTAAGCAGAGAGAAACTGACCTCCATGTCTCTCTGTGCAACTGCATGCTGCTCAATCAACAGATATAGTCATAGTATCAGTCCTGTGAATGAGGACGATAAAATGAAAAATGAGAATTCAGAGTAGGAAACTACGTAGAGGGCCTAACAAATGAAGGGAAACGGAAAATCGACCTTTAAATCTAGCCGCCAATCAGCAGGATGCCTCCAACAAACTGCTCGTCCCGGTTGGTTTTTAAGATGGAACACTTCATTTGACCACGGAGCATGCTTATCATGGGCAGCTATGGCGCATCTTACACATCGCCATTGGGTTCTCTGTTTGCAGACAAAACATTCCTGCATACACGATTCTATCAGATCAGATGTGGTAATGAAGGACAACATATGAGAAGAAGTGATCAATTCCTTGAGTGTTTCAACCGAAACAAACCATTAGGCTGCTGAAATTAATCGGACTTTGAACAATAAAACTTCCTTATGGATCTCCTAGTAGCTACACTAACTTCACAATCTGAATCCCTTGCAGAGATCTAGCAATAATACAACTATGTGAAAGCTACAGGGTGTATTCGCTATGCAATGCATCTGTGCATATTATTTGCAAACTGTTACCATAAACACATGGGAGCTTACATGTTGAGGGCACCTGAATTTCCCTAAGTTGGAAAACCCGAGACTTTCCTTCGCACATGATGGGTGATAGGCTCCTTGACAACCACGAACTGAACACAGCAATTCTTCGCCCGGGTATACGAGCTTATGGCAAACAAGACAGTCAGCCTGAAACCAAATTGCATAGTCATTGTGACAAGGATCTGGAGATCTTACAAATCGAAACAAGTTACTTCAAGATTCTGGAATCAGATTAATGCAATAGTAACAAGATACTTAAATTCTCCTGAATCCAAAAATCTCACCAATACTTCAAGAACATGTTTCCATTAATAGATGGATCCTACAGGATGAGGCCTTGAACAAGAAATCAAGAATCTTTAAACCCGGGAATCTATACACATTTCTTTTTACTCCGTATCGAAAACCCACCATGATTCCCATATCGAAAACTCAAAAAGGAGAAAGAAATGGAAGATAAATACCATCTTTTTAGCTCCGACAAGAAATGGAAGGAAACATTTCGACTCTGGAACTCCCGCCTCCGCTTTCCTCCTGACCCAAGCCCTCACATGCTCTTCCAAACTCGACCCTTTCTTGGCTCGATCCGACAGACCCTTCCTCCGGCTGAAAACACTGATTCCGGTGACATTACATGCCTCTCCGCCATTTTCCGCTACCGGAAGCTTCGGTATTTGATTCCAATTGCGGTCTCCGGCAAGGGTTTTCGCAGATTCCGCGAGCGAACCGCTCGAATCGGCCGACTCCGTATTCGCTAGAAACGGAGCAGTGCAACGAGGGAGAGCGAGAGATTCCGACAAAGAAATGTTGCCCAAAGCCGGCATTTTTTCAAGAACTCAGCACCACATGAGAAATCAAGACGAAGAAAAAGTCTTTTGTTTTTGGGTAAGACTAAAAGGAGAGGGAAGAGATATGAGAGTGTGGAGGGAATTTAATTTAAGGCGGGAGATAATGGAATTTTTCATATGGTTCGAAGGATTGTCTTCAGAATTAACGAAAAGGCCTCATATTTTCTAGATATTCTCAAAATTGCCCCTAATATTTCTTTTGGTCAAATTCTCTTCGAAACTTTCCCCATGTAGATTTCGATTCCCCAATTTGCACTTGTGTTCTATGATTCGTTTTTAACAAAAACAAAAATGTATATAAATGATAACAATTTTGAATTATCATTAGAGTTTTATCAAAGATAATTAGGAGTATGTAATATAATTATTTGTTAGTTTTTTTTAAATACAATTAATAATCCTTTTTGAAAGTGTTTTCGTTATATAATATTCATGAAAATTTCTAATCTAAAAGCTTCACTAAGGATCCAAATTCGGGAATTCATCATGCCGTATGAGTTGATTATATAAGAGTGGAGAAATTTAATTTAAACGCCGAAAATAAGTTACTCAATCGTATGGTCGGAAGGAATAAATGTATGGCGTCTAAGAATTTAATTTTAGATGAGAGACGGACCAACCAAGTCAAGCAAGAATCTAGGAAACACGTTCACGCCAGCATCAAGACAGCTTCATACATATATATATATATATGTATGTATGTGCGTGTATATGCGTATGTATATATGTGCGCATGTTGTCTAGATAATATATTATATTATTCAATGTATATACACACACACACACATAAGGGTCATGGGTCATCAACAAATATTCATTGCCCATAACGTGATAAAAAAATATTAGTTTGATTTTATTAGTTATATATTATATTATGTTAATATTTTTTCTATTATTTTTATGTATCATAATTAAAATAATTAACACCAATTTTAACTTAATTTTTGTTATTATACTTGTCATTAATGGACCTAATTGGCCAACCACCTTGCCCAAATCTATGACAATAAATTTATGAGGGTTTAGGTTAACCCACCAAAGTGGTGTGCAAGAGGTTGCCCATGCAACAAATATGATATTTTATAAAACAAAATATACATAATATGGTATTGATTCATACGAATAATTTAGATATTTATACCTTAAAATTTGGTTTTGGGTCTAATATTTCGACATCAATCTCTAACATTTTATGCTTCAATTTATTATTTGATGATAAATATATATCATGCATATGCATGGAAACATCAAATTTTGGACCGCGAATTATATTTTTTTTCTACCATTAATTCGAATAACCCAACATTTATATTTGGGTAAGCTAACCGTACGCCATATCCATTTAATATCATTGCTATCGTGTACACGTTACCATATATTTGTTCACACTTAACTAATAAATTTCATAACTCCATGGGTTATAATATCGAACCAATGCGAACCTAATAGGAAATAAAATTAAGTAATCTTAAAATTTTAAAATATAGATATAAATGGAATTCGAGCGGGGAATTTAGTAATATATGAATGAGAATAAGGTTTGATTTATTTATGACGTCAGCGAAGCCGCCAACTTGTAATTTAGCCCCAACATTTTTTGCATTTCTCACCTTCCAACCATAACTTTAATTTGTTTTAAACAGACTCAGCGGGGAAGCAATAATCACATGTAGTTGCCCACACAGTGATCCAGACTTCTAAGTAATGATATATTGACACGTGGAATCAAGACTAGTCAAAATCGCCATGTAAAGAGACGACGGAAAAGCTTTCCTCTTTTTCAAATTCGGCGAGGTTTCGTTTCGTCCCCTATATATATATATATGTGTACATGTAGGAGAAGAAACGACGAGGATCAACGAAAAGCGAAGAGCGAATTCGTCGGAAAGGTTACCGGAGATTGAATTTCTCATTTTCTCCGGCGAGCTCCGACAGAGAGAGAGAGAGACCTTAGGTGGATTCGGATTCAGAATAATCAGAATTAGAATCATGCAGCGAAGGAGAGGGACGAGGAGATCCCCGGCGATGAAGATGGCGACGACCGATGCGAAGCTCGATAACGGAGACCAGGTGAAGAAGACGACGAGATGTGAACGGAGATTGTTGAAGTTCGAGGAGTTGCCGAGGTATCTGAAGGACAACGAGTTCATAATTGACCATTACCGATGCGAATGGTCTCTCCGAGATACCTTCCTCAGCATCTTCTCCTTGCACAACGAGACGCTCAACATTTGGACGTACGTATTTGAATTTCGTATACGTATAATACACGAAAGCGCGGGTGACTGGGTTCGTGATTTTGACATCATCTCTGTTCGGATTCTGGAATTTTTATGAAATCGATAGGCACCTGGGAGGATTTCTGATATTCGTTGCGATGACGGTGGTGAGTTCCATGGAGACGACGGAGCTCGGCCTCGCCGGAATCATCAACGGCTTCTCCGGGTAAGATGTTCGAGGGCAAATACGCCATTTCCTCTTTTTTTCTTGCGCCTTCTGAAAAATTGCCTTTTTCCAACCAAACGAGTATTTTTTTTTTCTGGGGGTGTTGGGACCCACTTACAGAGCTGTGATTCGCTGGCCGTCTATGTTAACGGGGAATGACGTTTACCTCTCCAGCAACGATACTCTGCTCCATGTATGATTTCTTCTTATTCTTATCCTTTTTTATAATCTTTTACATTGTTTTTGCCGACTCTATGATTCTGTCGTCCTGGTTATAGGTAAGCATCTGTGTCATATTCTATTACAAAAAACACTATTCCTCGTCCAAATGTGAGAAAAAGATTTAAACTTTTTTGTGCTAAGAAGTAGCTGTAGATGCCCCACCACGTGATGCTTTTGATGTTTTCTGAGACTTTCTTTCACGTTTGTTTGAAACTCGAACATGTTATTTTGCCCACTTGAATTTTTGTCTGGCAGGACAAAGAACATACGATTTTTCATCGTATTTAGGAAAGCCAATATTGTGCTTTCTCCTGCTTTGTTGGAATTTCTCTCTCACATAATTCAGAGAAAATAACAAACTGTGGATTCTGTAGATATTGTGTTGCTTCTCCTAGTCTCGATTTCAAATGGTCATCCATTTTCATGGAGTTAGACAAGGTCTGAGACATTTTAGGGGATACACCACCTAGAATGTTTCTATATCTGTTCAAGTAATGAAACATGATCATCTTTTGTATTTGCAGGACTCGAGCCTTAATCACACCCTACACAACTCTCTCTTCTATCCTAACGGAGAAGTTGGTCAAGAAACTGTTCCGAAATGGCCATGGTTCGTGTTCTTAGGTGGAGCAATGGGTTGTTTGATCTGCAGCTCCCTCTCTCACCTCTTTGCTTGCCACTCCAAACGTTTCAACCTCTTCTTTTGGCGCTTGGACTATGCCGGGATCTCCCTCATGATAGTCTGCTCATTCTTCGCCCCTATCTACTACGCCTTCTCCTGCCACCCTTATTGGCGCCTCCTCTACCTCTCCTCCATCTCCACCCTCGGTCTCCTCGCCATCATCACTCTCCTCGCTCCAGCTCTCTCAGCTCCTCGCTTTAGATCGTTCAGAGCAGCGATTTTCCTCACAATGGGATTCTCGGGCGTGATCCCGGCCACACATGTGCTTTTCCTTCACTGGGATCACCCCAGTGTGGTCGTTGCCCTTGGTTACGAGCTCATTATGGCCATATCATACGCTTTAGGGGCAGCATTCTACGTGACTCGGGTACCAGAGAGATGGAAGCCCGGAACTTTTGATATCGCTGGACACAGCCATCAGATTTTCCACGTGTTTGTGGTCTTAGGAGCTCTTGCTCATAGTGTGGCCACCCTTCTTATCATGGATTTTCACCGGTCATCGTCCTCTTGTGCCTTTTAGCCAATACCCTAATAAACATTAGCCATCTTCATCATAACCTAGTTCATCCCTATTTGTTTGTACCTTGTAGCTCTTTTTTGCATTTGTACCACAAAAGCAGCAAGTAAAGGTGCAGCCTTTGTTTTATTCGGTGGAAGGAAAACATTGCAGGTCTCGTTGGAAACTTCAGGAATCATTCACTCGGTGGCCGTTCATCCATCCATCCATCCATCCATCCATCCTGGAAGCGCAAGTTAACGTTTCTTTATTTTGGAAATCTTGATCTTCTCTTGAAAATTTTAGTTTCTCTCTAGTCTCTAGCAAACATGGAGGCAACAAACCATCATTCTAGAGAATGTGGTTTATAGTTGAATGTGTAATTTGAGATGTTCTTGAGGTTTTAGCTTGTATTCACTTAGATGTATATATTAATAAATTGAGAATTTCATATTCATAATTGTGGAAAGAGAATAGAAACTCTCAAATTTCTTATTAAACTTTAAACAAGAATACAACAATGAAAGAGCTAACAATCCTATATAACAGGAAAAGATATATACAAAAATAATAGAAAGAATCGATAAAAATATGATTGTTTGGATACTATATTGTAACACTATCCTCATGATAAAGAATACATGGAATGAATTCTCATATTGGACAAGAGATGTCGAGAATTCTCGATCGAAATCGGCTTGATAAATAAATCCGCAATCTGATCTTGAGATGAAGTATGCAACGACTTAAAAAAAAACCCATGTTTACTCGTTCCCGGATGAAATGACAATCCAACTCAATGTGTTTCGTGTGTTCGTGAAACACGGGATTATTTGCAATATGAATCGCAAACTGGTTGTCACTTAATAGAGAAATAGGCCGAGGACAGTGAACATGAAGGTCTCGAAGCAACGCATCAATCCAGACCACCTCGCAAGTAGTCTGAGCCGTGGCTTGGTACTCGGATTCAGCAGAGTTGCAAGACACAGTGACTAATAAGAGCACCACCTAAGAAAACACAAAGCCTATTACTGATCGGCGAGAGTAGGCGCACAATCCATGTCAGTGTAAGCAGGTAATCGAGTAGAGGAGTTGGCGGGCTACAGAATACCTTGGCCAGGTGCATTCTTGAGATACTACAAAACGCGATAAGTCGCCTGAAGATGAGATGATCGAGGCGCAACCATGTATTAGCTTAGTTTCGTGACAGAGAACGGAATATCGGGCCGAGTAATCGAAAGGTAAATCAGCTTTCCCATCAAGGCTTGGTAATGAGAAGGATTAGGAAGAGGGTCGCCACAATCATTATTCAGTTTCTATCCAAATTTCATTGGCGTTGCGAGATGTATCCAAATTAATACCGTATATTATTCAATTTGATTCGATTCGATATTGATGTTGGTTCGGTACGATACGGTTTTACTAAATAAGTACCAAATAAATACCAAAATCATAATGGTTCGCAATGGTTCGAGTTTTTCATGAGACGGTTCGGAACGATTAAATGCGGTTTGAGTTTATTTTAAAATTTTAATATAATGAAAACAAATAAATTTTATAAAGTATTAATGAATTTCTATGAAAGTCAATAAATATTATTTTTTACTTCATCAAGGTATTTGATTGGTAAAAAAATGAATATTATTTGTAAGTATTAATATTTAATATTTAAAAATAAAATAAAATAAAAAATACCAAAATATCGTACGATATTTTTCGAATTAAATCGAACCGTTTTTGAACCATTAGGTATCTTCAATTTTTGTATCGTTCAATTTTTATATAATATCGAACAAAACCGAAATGTAGTGAATCCCTTCATAACTAAATTTCTGAACAGAAGTGCCGACTCCTAATATCACGTACTAAAAAATCTAGAATGGATTCATGTATAAATGAAGAGTGAGGGGCATCGCAACCAAATAATGAAATTGGAGAATATAATAGGAAAAAGAAACCATAAGAAAGAAAACCATTTATTGTCTTTGACTCTCTTCAATACCCTCATTATTATCTCTTAGCCATTGTTGGATAGTTTTATTTTGATGTGCAATATCTTGCATTTGTCAGTTTTTGTTTTATTTTTGGCTTTATACATCTTATGCCATATATTAGAGATATACATAATATATTAAACTAATACATATATATATATATATATATATATATATATATATATAATTTCTGGTGTGACAAATGTTATATATATATATATATATATTCTAGACCGACAATGAAACACAATTTTGATTTTTCTCTGCATGTTTTAAAACACATTCTTGGCTGAAATTTGATTAAAAAACGAAATGAGAATATTAGAGAGGACGTATGGAGGAAAAATTTATGAGCGAGACTTTTAAGATGATCTGACCATTATTAGAATGAATATCTGTTTTTTTTGTACGAAGATGATTTGTATTATATATCAAAAGAATTACATCACAACTTTTGTTTTTAGCAAAAGATTATGGAACCCATGAGCAAGTGGTAGAGATTCAATATTTAAAAGCTTTACCTAATTTCTCGCGTCAAATAATACCACGATGCAAGTACTGATTCTCCATCTTCAAGTTGGTTCCTCTTGATAGATAAAAAGACACTACGAATGTCACGATCAATCTTCCATCGCGTATGTTCTACCGTTCTCCTTTTGTTTCGGAATATGTGGTTGTTCCTTTCCGGCCAAAGTTCATATGCCATCACTTGGAGGAGAGACTTCACAATGTACTTCAAGGCCTTTCCACCAACAGGAACAACGTCCGTGATCCGACCAACACATTGATAGATGTTCATAGGTGCATCTCGCCCACAGAACCGCGCAAAGTGTTGCCAGACTTGATTTCTGTACCCGCATTCGAAGAAACTACTAAAAATATATTTTCGAATCCACGAGAAATATGTCTCCATCACATTATGATATGCATAATGATCAATTCTTTGATTCGAAGCGGATGAATATATGATATAAGAGACAGAATTGTTAAAGAAGTATGAGATGCGACGAACTATTATTAGTTTTTATTATTGTTTTCTTCATTTCAATTTTCTAATACATTATGTTTTGTGTAAAATATAATTTATATATTGTTGATGATTTTGTTTACTATTATAATTTGAGTTTAATTTTTGATATTATGATTTGAGTTAACAAAACATAGTATCATATGATCATATAATTTTTAGATTTATTATTTTTAATATTTATATGATAAATTTATTTTTTAATTAAATATAAATTAATTTGATAGAATTTCTATTTTAAAATATTTTTATATAATTATTTATAAATTATATCATATATTTTTTATCAAATGAGAATATAAAAATTATTTACAATTAATTTAAAACATAATCTTAAAATTATGTCTTTTCTAATAATTTACATCAAAACACAATTTAGAAACGTTTACAATTAATTTAAAACATTATCTTAAAACCATATCTTTTCTATTTGCAACCAACCGCAATCGTCACCAACAATTACTCACTAATTTTTCAATACCAACCGCCCACAATCGCTACCAAACATTTTAAAAACGTTAACAAACGCACTTGCAACCGCATCATTACAAACAGTCGGCCTCTATATATATATATATTTGCATATACAGAGGAAACATAACAAAAATGAACCACGAGATTTAAAACAACAAAGGAGTAACAAGAGAACATGCGGAGACATCGAAAGGAGAGACGATATACATACGAGTTCCATTGATCTAAACTTTTTTTCTCTCCTATTTTATTTATTTCATTTTATTGGTTTAAACCTTGCCGGTTTGGATTGACATCGAAGATGATATCAATTCAAGTCTGTGGGAGAAGTCTAACATCGACTATTACTAGCAATTAATTACACATTTCATACTTTTTAGTTTTTAGCATTCATTCAAAAAAACTTCAAAAAATTTTCAAAACAAGTATTGCATAAAATTGCATTAGTTTTGCATGATATTTAGCATTAGGATTGCGTTTGCATAAGTCATATAGGAACACTTGCATGAAAAATGTTATATCTATAGAGAAACTAACATAACGAGATTATTTTATAATTATGAAAAATAATATATAAATACCTAAATTTTTATGAAAATCTCAGATAAATACTTGAATTATAAAACTTCCATATAAATACCTGAACTTTTAAAAATTCTATATAAATATCTAGATTTTTAAAAAAATTTCCAAATAAATACAAATTTCAGGTATTTTTTAAATAAAAATAAGTGATGTCATTAACGAATTTTGGGTTTATTTAGAAATTTTTTAGAAGTCTACGTATTTATGTAGGATTTTAGAAGAGTTTAGGTATTTATCAAAATTTTATAATTCAGATATTTTTCTAGGATTTTTGTAAAAATTTAGGTATTTATATACGATTTTTCCTTATAATTATATTATATAACTAAAATAAGGTTTCTTAAAAAACTTTGATAATGTTTTAAAATGTGTTTAATCTATTATTATAACTGAATTGAACCGATCTAAATTTTTATTTGGTTAAAATTTTATTTAGATATAATCGAACAGATTTGATTAAAATTAAATCAATGTTTAATTATAAATTTTCAAAACCCGAAATGACCGAATCCTAATTAACAGTAATCGAATAAACCGAATCAAACATTTCGTGATGTGTTATCCTGGTATATTTTGATATTTTGTGTATGAAATTGTCATATTAAACGTCTGTACACGTTTTTTAGGATTTGAATTCGTCATATTTTTTTAAAATTTTGTCTTTTATGATAAAAAAAATTTATGGAAAAGTCCCTAAAAAATATTGATCTTGCTAAAATATGTATAATAAAACCTTAACTTGCAAAAATTTCTACAAATACCTAGACTTACAACACCATTACGAACAATTTGATTAAATTTTTAAGCGATTGAAAATTCACGTGTTCAGGGAATGTCCCTATTGATGTCAACTTATACATATGAGCAATTTTAAGTTAAAATATGACATCAACATTTTTTTAATTTGTGAAAATCGGTTTGAAAGAAACCAAACTTGTTTTTATTTTTTAAAACAAAACATAGGTACAGAGAATCAGAGATTTGAAAGAGGAAAAAGCGAAACAAAAACCTTAATGTTATCCCTTTTTATTGGGCCTAAGTGACACTCGTAACCCGTATCCCATATATGAGATTTGACACATTGGTGGTAAAACAGTAAAATCAAGTAACTTTAAAGTAAGAAAAATTTTAAAACTTTTTATTCAACAATACGCAGCGAAAATTAATTGATAACACAATACACATCAATTATAAAATATCGTAATAAAATAGGAATCATCATTTCCAAGTTTAACATACTTCAAACCCGTACATGATACTGCCTCCTCTTCAATCGTCGTCCACCAATATTTCTATACAACTTACGATACATAATGAACCAATCACAAAATGTCCATATGACCACGTCCTATGGACCAAATCCGTCAAATTCTCACCAACGTAACAGTGCTAATTCATTTTTCTATCGATACTGTCTACGTGATGCAACAAATACTCTAATGGTGTGGTATTGACTCAGTCATCACCGTTAGCAGCACAAGTCCTCATCAACGTAATAGTACTGACAGTCATCACTGATACTAACTAGTGGTTTCTCGGTACTCATCCTGTAACATCACTGATTCTATCGTCAACAGCTACTTGTTACCAACTCACTGTATCCCTCACCATCATAGTGATACTGATTCCTTCGACACCGGTATCCATTATGTGAAACATAGTATCATACATTACTAACTCTTTTGTCCACCTGTACTAGTATGATACCCACACGCAACCATATACAGTACTGTCTCTTTCATCAATCGTTAATGATACGATACACATAAATCATTTGCTCAATACTGGCTCATTCATCTACCGGTATTGGCTACACATCTGTACAGTACGACTCATTCGTCAACCGGTACCAGCTCACAACTGGTCGATCGTAGTAAAGAACACATCGCGCTATCGGCAAGACACGATTGGTCGATCGTGTCCAACACCGCGATCGCACCATCGTCGTGCGAAGATGGGTCAATCGTGGCCTTTTCCAAATTTTATTTATGTTTTATCCTTTGCCTTCGTTCTTACATCGATTTAACCCTTTTTATCAATGAAAATAAATTAAATAATTTATCCCGGCAATCAGTGTATTAGACTTAATTGGATTTGTGCTCTTTTCGTTTTCCAGTTCTTAATCTCCTCTGTCTTGGACTTCAAAAACTCTTCTACTATTCTTCGTTCTGTTATGGGTTTTCGTCAATTTCGGTATGCTTACGGTCGTTCGAGCAAGGTTGGCTAGACTGTGATTCTTTGTTCTGTTTTAGATTTGTTGGAAATATTTTGTACTTGTTTGAAATATGTTATGGGTGTGGTAATGTTTGGTTTTTCGTCATTTCAGATGAGTTATACGTCTGACGATGCGAAAAGTGTAACAATTTCGTATGGAAGATCATTTTCGACTAGAAGGGGATCAAGACAGTGCGTTGATGTTCCGAAGCAGTGTGTTTGTGGGGGTAATATTGTCTGACTTATATAAAAAACTTAGAACAATCCAGAAAAGAATGTTTTTTCGTTGCACTTCTTAGGAGGTTTTCGAACTCAGAACAAAGTAATTTTTGAACTCCACCACAACCGATTTCTCAAAGAACTTCAACACAATTTTTTTCAAACTCTAGCACAGAGGAGTTTTCGAAGTCGACCGCATAGTAGAATCAACAGAAGAGTTCTCGACAGATATGAATGAGATTTTTCCTCCTTCAAATCTCTAATAAAGATTCCACGATAAAAGGGGATAAATTTAGGTTTTTTTTTAAATAAAATAAAACCGGGTTTGATTTCTTTTCAAACCGATTTCCACAAATTAAAAAATGCTGATATGTCATATTTTTATTTGAAACTATTGACGTGTATAAGGTGATATCAACATTCTATCAATACCTGGATTTTCGGTCAGCTGAAAATTTGGTCAAATTGATAAACAGTTTATTAGAGAAGCAATTAACAAGTTAAAAGTTTTGTTCATAAAGGTTTTGCACATCTAGGTATTTGAAGACAGATTTGAATGTTTTATTATACAAATTTTAGGCAAGTTCAATGTTTTTTTTTTGAAACTTTTCTCTAATAATTATGTATGTTTTTAAACTTAATACATTGATACCAATTTTTTTTATGGTTGGTGATGTCAATTTGGGTTGTGGACCCATTTAAACCTAACTCAAATGGGTTGGGTAAATTATTAGATTGGGTTGAATAAATCCCATAAATAATTATTTAATGGATTGGGCTAACCACAAAACTTATATAGTCCCAATTAATCCATTTAATTTACTTTAGTTAATTAGGAAGTTATCTTAATTGTTATAGGTCAAATAGAAAAAGTGTTGTATGAGAGTAAACTAAAAATATTTAGGAAGGAAAACATTTTATGTGCTATATATATATGTAAAAACAATTAAATATTCATATAGATATAAAAGAAAAAATGATTTATCGACTATAAAAAGAAAATTTTAAACCATTAATAATGAGATAGACATGCCAAAATAATAATCACGTGAGAGACATATAAAGATTTTTTTTTTTGTTTTTTGGAATTAATGTATTGATCGTTTGGTTAAAAGGGCACAAGGGACTGTCGTCCACCAGTTTTACATTTTGCGAGGATAATAATAATAATAATAATGGGAAAAGACCAGAAACCGTCTGGTAAATCGTCGACTTCCTCTTGTGCCGATCTCAGAATCGCTTACAACAGTTGCTTCAACAAGTGGGTTTTCTCTCCATCTGAATCTGCTTTGTTTGCGCTGTCAATTTTGAATCTTTGCTCTCGGGAAGGTTGTGGGTGTTCTTCGTCTTCTCTAGGGTTTAAGGTTTTTTAAGAATTCTTTGGCTTTTTTTCCGTCGGATTATCGTATCGATCTTCAATTTGTTGAAGGTCATGTTTCTGTTAACCTGCATCTGTTCGTGACAAGATTTTGGGTGTTCTTCGGAATCCGACTTCCATGTTCAATCCTTGTGCTTTTTGGATTTGGGGTGATTAGGTTTGAATTGATTTGCTGAAGTTCTTCTCGTTTTTTTAAACCGTTCTCTGGTCTTTCGATTGATCCCCGAGTGAACTTGTTCTTCGAAATCTCAATTCATGAAACATTTTTCTAGGATTGAGCTGTATTGTTTTCGTATAGATTCTCGTCCCCAATAGAACACCCCATCATCTGTCTCCGAGTTTTCTCGTCAAATTTCTGAAATTCCGAATGGTCGTTATAGATTTCTTCACGAACATGGAAAGCTTCAAGTACCTTGTTGTTGGTTTGTGACTTGGAAAATGCAGATGGTACTCGGAGAAGTTTCTGAAAGGGCAATGGGATGAAGAAGAGTGTTGTGCTGTTGACTGGCAAAAGTACAGGAATTGCCTCTCGGTGAGATGCCCTCGTTCTCCCTTTTCCACGTTCTGCTTGAATCTGAATCCGCTCTCCCTGTATTTTGTTTTTCTGTTTCCATGGAAATGTGACAGGAGCATTTGGACGATAAGCTTCTGAGTCGCTTCCTTGAAGCTGATAGTGTATTGGATTCGGGAAAACAGGCTGATCCCGAGAAATCCAGCTGACGGCTCTCTTTCACCTTAATCTTTCTCACCGACATTCTTCCATAAGCATGCTTCCATTGCTTCACTTAACTAATGTCATGTGGGGGAATTGGATCTTATTGATTATGTGTTGGAATTGAGAAAAAGGGAAGCTTGAATGGTTGATATGTACCTTTGCAAGAGGGTTTAGCTATTAATGAATAAGATCGATCGTCAAGGGTTTGATCAAAGTCGGGAGGTGACGTTTTTCAGATAAACGTCGGATCAGCCCGTTTGTTAACTGACAGATAGATTTGCATTCTCCCGGTTGGTGTAAATATACCGAAACAGAATCAATGAAAATCGCTTGCCTTTCTCAAAGGAACCGAGGAATTCTAGCCCAAGTTTTCATTACTAAGTAGACAGCTTTCACGTTCGACCTACGAACTAGGGATAGTCATTTTGGGTTTTGATTCGATTATATTCGAACTCGTTTACAGAAAAAAAATATATCTGTTTGGTTTATAAATTTCGGTTTGGTTTGGATTCGGTTTATTTATTGTAATAAAACTCATTTTTCAAAGAAATTGTCGATTTTTTTTGTTATTTTTTAAGCGATTCGGTTTTGGTTATTCAGATTTAGAGAAATTATAACTATTCAGTTTTTATATCGAATTCGATTCAGTTATAATTATATTTTATTTTGTTCGTTTCGATTATTCGGTTAATAATCAAAATAATCTCTTCTAGTTAAAACGATTGAACAGAAAAAAAAGCTCAAAAGAAAGATTATATATATATATATATGATAAAACACAGACGGGTCAGTATGTATAACCTTCCCTTAGACACCAAGAAGAGCTGAAGTTTAACTTGCCAATTAAATGGCAGAGAGCGATGTGAAAAAATCAAAATGGATCTAGTTTATGAGAAGTTTGCCCGTGGAAGATTCTAGAAAATCTCAAATAAAAAATCTATAGAAAATAAACATTTATTGTTAACACATTAAAAAAAAATCACAATTAAATCTTTAAAAAATCGCTCATCTAATGTAAATATAGGTCTTAAATTAGTTTTATTGACATAAAGAACTCAAAGTTTCACGTGCGGCAGATCGAACTCGGTGCGGAAGATGTGTTCGGGAATTCGGTCCAGGCCTCAGAATCTCTAGATCTAATCCGAAAAGAGAGAAAAGAAGGAAGTCTGTGGCGGCGATCTTTATTGATGATGAAAAATAAGGTACAAAGGGAGACAACGGCTCGAACAAAGTGCAGGGGGTCGCCGAAAAAAGAGAGCCGACATCGAAGAAGAGAAGAAGTAAAGGAGGTTGTGTTTTATGTTAAAACTGAGATGGATCCTCAATTCGGCCGGTCTAGGATACCTATTAAGTTGGCCTAACAACTGAAAAAGAATCCTACACAAACTCAAATCCCTAAAAATCAACCCTTTCATCTTATCTTTTCGAAAATGAAGATGAAACAAACACAAACTCTAACAACCTTAGAAGAAGGAAACCCTTGGAGAGAAAAGGAAGGTTCGAAGAACCTAAAAGATTGTGAAACGGGTCGGGATGATGATCTAGACATGGCGCGAACGTGTTCCGCGGTCGGAATACGCGAAGTCTTTGTCTCGGGCTTACCATGTTTCTCTATCGTGGTTGATAACTCCTATTTTTCTCTATATTTTTATGAGAGTTTGTCTAGGTTTTACAGGATAATCACATGCATTCATAGGCATTCTAGGCGTGTTAGGACACAAAATCCGGTTGTGCTTTAGTTTTGCAGAGTTACAGGTTCAGAGATGATTCAACTCGAAAAGGAGCATTTTTGGAGCGTTAGAAATGAAGTTCATATGGGGTATTCATGTTGCGAGATAAATAAATTTCTCTATAGAAGTCCAAATCACCCGAGAATTTTACCATTGGAAAGAGCATTTCAAGAGCTTCGCGTAGACCCAAAATAGTGCGAATCCGATACCGGAGCAGAAAGTTATGAGCGAAATCATGAAGATCAGAATTCTGTCGGGTTTGGTCCGGATCCAGATGGATCCGGTCCGGGACTCCGAGTTGAGCATGCCGATTCTAGAGTCCAGTGGGCCGATTTTGAGTTCAGAATCTGGATCTTGTCTGGATCCAGGTGGATCCAGATCTGTCGAGAGAAAAACTCTAATTCGCGATTTTCAGCATCCTAATGGAAAAAGGACTCTTGAGAGCCGCCCTAGGGTTATAAAAAAGACCTAACCACGCCCTAATACAGAGGAGAGCCTTAGAGAACACTTAGATACAGACTTTTGGAGAGCTTTTGGTAAGAGAAGAATAGAAGTTCACAGGATTTTGGGAAAAAGAAGGAAGATTCGATCGTGGAGACTACACATCTATATGAGCTTTTCTATCATTTCTTTTACCTCTTTTTCTCTTAGCTTTTTGTTTTTTTTCCATGAACTGTGAGTAGATCCGCGACTATGGGTTAGAGATTCGTTTGTGTTTTGGGTATGTTTGAACCCTAACTTGGATTTCGGTTTTGATTTGTTTCGATTCTATTGATTTGTGCTTTTATTGGATTGATGTTTGCTAACTCCTTGGTCAATTATCTTAGATTAAACTATTGCTAACCCGATCTTCAATTATCTTAGATTAAACTATATAGAGATATGAGTTTAGTTTCGGATCAAAATCAATAGGATAGATCGTATTATTCACATAGAGATATGTTTTAATCTATTTAGAATTGATGATACCGTTCTTCATGCATCTAGGGTTAACTTGAATAGATCGAGAGATTGACGAGTTACTCTGTAGTAATGAGTTGGTAGACCGAGAGGTGAATTCTCTATTCTTGTTGCTTGATGATCCCGAACACAAGTCATAATCGTATTCTCGCATGCTTAGTAAATACCCATACACGCTAATACAGTCCCGACACTCATGGTCATCTTATCTTGCGAGTTACACGTTTTTACTTGCTTTGCTATTCTCTTATATTGATTTCACATATTTCCACCATGAATCGGGTTATAAATTCTAGACTCGGTGCACACGTATCAGTGGTCGTGTTTGTTCCTCATGCCGTGAAGGAAGCATGCGTGTTAGGGGAATGTGGAATCTTCGATCTTGGTTTGCTGTAGTGGTCCAGAGTGTTGGGAAACTTGTGCTAGTCCCGCGGCTCGTCTAGGAAGGTACGGAACGCAAAAATGTGCTTCGTCCGTGAAAACTCATTGTCTTGTCGGGAAACTTCATAGTTGTCTGTGTTGTCGTTCATTGGAAACCAAAGATCCCTACATAGCAAATCCCTAACCTACAGCAAAAGAATTACTCGCTAAACATCAAGACGTCAGAGCTCATATCAATACAACAAAACATCGTAAAATAGAAGGAAAGAGGAACACTTAGTCGATTTCTCGGCTTCGTGATCTCCGTCTTCTACTCCGATCTCTTGCCTCTTGATAATCGCCCCCTTTTCTTGTGTTCTTGGTGTCTTCTCTGTGTAAAGCTTGAATTATTTTCGACCTAGAGGCTTTCCCCTCTTATTTCATTTTGGTTTGAGCAAAATTGAAAGTTTTCCCGAATTTGGGGGTCGAACCGATCGTTTCGCTAAACCCGAACTGATCTTGTCATGTTTCTGAGTAGTTTTGACGGGCTTCACGAATTCACTCATAACTTCCTGCATCGATATCGGATTTGGTTGATCTTGGTGTCTATACGTAGATATTGAGAAGAGCTTTCCAATGATATAGATAACGTAGGATTTGGACTTGTATAATGAAAGTTATTGAACTTGCAAGATCTGACGTTTTCTGAGCTTCACATTTTCTTTGGAAACACTCCAAATGTTCCCGTTTCTTCCGTGATGTTTCGTAGTCCATGTTTTCCACTCCTTTTTCTCTTTTTATGCATGAAAACCTATTTAAATACCAAATTACACGACCATCCCATATCGAAGCCAAATATGCCCTAGAATGTCTACAAATATGTAAAACCGAGTGAAATGCGCTAGACATCCTATATCAAAACATCATATAAAATACGTGTTATCAAACTCCTCCAGACTTAAACCTTTGCTCGTCCTCGAGCAAATACTCCGTGAAAAACAGTCCGAAAGGAGGGCGAGACAATGACATAACTCAAAATGATAATCGAGAGCGAAACATCTATCCGACCTAGATCCCCGTGAACAATGACCAAGTCTATCTAATATGATCTCCCTCTCTAAAAGATAGTCTTTCCTACCTATGGGATCTATACCGCTACCCAGAACCAATCTAAGGACTTCAATCATCTATCAAACATGTTTTTCGAACCTATTACGCCATCCTACCTAATCGTATCTAGTCTACGCTTTCGGCATCCATTCTTTTTATCTCTCTCTCCTTTTTTTTCATGTAACGAGACTTTATCTCTTTTTTTATTTTACTAGCATCTCGGGTTCCTAGGACGTTGAAGTTGAAGGGTTCCTAATCAATTTTTTTTTCGATTTTGTTTATTGGATAACCCGACCCACAACTTAGACCCGAACCATCAAATCGATGCACTCATGTCCTCGAACGATTTTCGTTGACGAGATAATGATAGCGGAGTGTCGAGATGCTCACTATCTTTTTCTGCTCATAAAGAAATAAGAATGCATTTGATAATAGACTTTACCGATTTCAGCAAACATGAGAAAAGTTCTTGTAGAAACTTTTCTATCTGACTAGACAACATCAGTCCCATGGGTTCCAACCAACGATTTCTATCTCACAAGCCATTCTAGACAATCCTAAAGGTTAAGCAATCAATTCAACAAAACATAACCACGGTCAACGGATCACAATGTTTTCAAGACGTTTCTACTCTCTCATACCATAAATCATCACATCAATGCTCAAAACGGTTTTATGCACGTGATCTTATATGTCCTAAATACTATATGTAAATGCATAGACCTAAAAACAAACTATATGATCCTAGAACACTCTATGTGCACATGCAACTAAAAAGTGAAAAGAAAAAAAATTAAAAAATACATGCAACACTACTCTAAATAGATATGGTTTGGCGTTAGACGAATCATCCCCCAGACTTGAACTAGACATTGTCCTCGATGTCAATTCTCATCTAGTAGAGGCAACCAATAAGATGAGTCAAGAGAGAAGTAAATTAAAAAGGGAAAAGAATACTTAGCTCGCGATGTTCGTTCACTTGCACTTAAGTCTGCCTACGTCTATCGCATAGCTAGCTTCCTTGCCTCCTCAATAGCTCCTCATTAGAACTCAACCTGGTGATGAGAGACACAAACCAATATCCGATGCAAAAAGAAAAAGAAAGGGAAGAAAAACTAACCTAAAAACTCGGGTTACCTCCCGGAAGCGCTTGTTTAAGGTCGTTAGCTTGACTCGTCTTGCTC